AGCAGCTAAGCATGCTCATTGTGCTTTTCTGCAGTGGTGCAGTGGTGTAGGACACATTTCGCAGTGGTGGAGTGGTGAATCTGCTCATTCTGCTTTTCTTTAACCGTAAGTGGCAGATTCTCGAGTGCAACCCCCGTATAAAGTGTGGCTGGCGCAGCCCTGACGACGGGCTAGCACCTAACACACTCGCACACAGGTGAATAGGATCTGTAGATGTATAGTTGTACTGTGTATAAAATTGTATGAATAATACAATAATACTCATAAGATCACATAAGGACATTGAACCTTGTATCAACAAAGCAAACACAACAATACAATGTCATGCAGGTGGTGTGCCAGATGTCCTATGCATCAACGTCACCATGTATCACCCTATCTCCTCCCGGGAGAAACCGGTGACCCCGCCGGGTCTACCGGGGTGGTGCCGTGCTCCCGCGCCACAGGAGCACCATCTTCGACGTACCGAGCCGGATCCTCAAGGTCAATGCTGCCGTGCCCACCGACTCCCTCGAGCCCCTCGGCACGGCTGGAAGAGGAAGCCGAAGCAAGAGCTGAATCGGCCGGCTTGCTTCAGGTGAAGTTGGGCACACCCGCCGTGATGAAAGGCATCCTTTTTTAGGCACCAAATTCAGCCCAGTTCAGCCACCTGGAACAGTTTGACAGTATTTTTTCTCCCCAGGTGGCTTTATTGTTTTCTAGATGTTGCAGGTAATTGTGCTGTATGTCATGTTGTGATATTTATTGATATTTTGCGTCAAGAAGGCGGCACCGTTCTATTAAGACCTGCCGCCTGCCATCGACGAGACAGGAAAGCGCAGAGAGTCCACTTTGAGGATGCACACTTACGATGTGCCGTGCCTTTTGGGGGGTCTTGTTGTGGTTCTGTTAAGTTTTAGACCAGAGCTGTGTTATGTTATGTTATATATGTTGTGTCTGTTATGTTTTGTTAAAACCATGTTTAAACCCCTTGCAAGGGCTCAAATTTGCATCTAGAGCTCAATTGAAGTAACTCTGGCTGAAACGTGACAGTCACATGATGTCACACGTTCATTCCGACGAGGTACTTCGTGGAGCATTTCGCGCAGTTCAACATCAACGGCAAACATCCTCAACATTTGGTCATTTTGAGCATCTCGCCAAGGGAAGGAGTTCATTGAAGCATAGCAGCATCACCTTCCCCTTCTCCAGTGTTCAGAGGAGCGTTGGCATCAGCCAACCCCAGCCTTTTTGGGCGTCTTTTTTCACGCGGTTGTTTCAATTGCTTTGACATGACTTGACCTGCATAGGATTGGACCAATGTTCCTGTCGGACACTCCAACTTCCCCAAAAGACACTCCAAACAAACATCCCGCGAGCCGTTCGAGCCAGTCCATATGTTTCCGTTCACCACTCCGGAAAAGTCCAGTCGGAAAACTGATGGACATACAGACTGGCTGGTAGGAGGGAGCTAAGGAGCTTCATGACTAACTAGTGTCCCTGTGGATCGACATGCCCTCTGAGCTGATTAGAGAGACCTCTTTACCTCTTTACCTTTTCTTGGAGCGTCCAAGTACCTTCTGAGCAAGGTGGCGCTGGATTTGTTGATCCGACCGGGTGAGATTCACCATTTTATGGACGTAGCGGTAGCCATTTCTCACGGCCACGCGTGGGTCCGGGTATTGCCCTTCCAAGGAAGAGCAGTTTACTGTGAATGTACCCAGACGTTCCGTTCACAGCCCGACTGGTCTCGGGTCCAGACCCCGTGACCAGTTCGGAAGAACGGGTCCGACCCCTGCAGGACCCGGCTTCGGGGCCGGTCTCGGGTCGCGTCACTCTTTGTCACTCCACACTTCGTTTTGTGGATCGGTCGCATGCGACGTGATGCTTGACGGCTTGACCGCTTCATGTGTTGACAAAACAGGGGACTAATCGAGTGACCTAGGTAATACGAGTCATCAGGGGTCTAGAAAAGAAAACATTCAGAAAGCTGAAACCAGCATGAGCTTTGAAGAAGTTGCCTCCTTGGTGACATTAGCCAACATTAGCCCAACCTCAAAGGGATGGAGAATGTCATGGAGGGTTCTTCCTGTAGAGGTCTATCAGGTTTCTTGTTTGCCAAGGGTTCGGCTGCCGTTCCACTTTTGACTCTGACGTCCTCAACTGAGAATCTGATCCTGCCCAGTCAGTGGAGAACCTTGAACCTGCAGTCCTTAAACCTTTTTTTGGGGATGGATTTCCCCACCTAAAGGAAGACAATAACCAACAGATGGAAAAAGGTTGTATATATAATTATACAACTGTATACTATAACATATTATAACCCATATTATATAGCCTCCGTTTTCCAGGGAAACGGCTCAGAAGTCAGTCATAAACAGCTCGGGAGTCAGTCATAAACGAGTCAGTTGTAAACGGCTCTGGAGTCAGTCATACTGCAACATGGTGTAATGAACTTCCACAGGCTGCCTCCCACGGCTAACCTCCGAAGCAGCCAGAACTGCAGGCTTTTCGTTTCTTTTGTTTTCAGCTCCTCAGGTGATATCAAGGTGTGCTATCACAAGAACTGGCGAGACTTTCGAGCTCCCTAGCCACCAAACCCGATGGGAAGATGCGGGGGGTCAAGTGAGTGATTGCCCTCACGGGCCAATGATTCGTTCCTCGCACCCCGGTCCGACCTCCATGGAGTCCGCAGCCCGACATGAAACTCCTGGATGTTTCACTATTCTTGGCAATGGTCCAATGTTCAATCATGTTCAATCGGATTGGCAAAGTTGCAGAGAGCTTCCGCACGTTCTTTCTCGCAGCTCACAGGCCTTTTGGTCAACGTAGACGGCTGGAATCCGCCAGAACTTGCATGTAGGTATCAGGTCTCAAGGGCTTCACGCAAACATGCAACATTGCATTTGCTTCGGCGGAATCCCTTGCTCATGCAGGTATTTCAGAGTCTGGAAAAGAGGGATGGATCAATGAATGGATGTAAGAAATTCACCACATTGCAATCGATGCAAAGTCTGTACCTCAGAATTGATGGCAGTTATATCAATATCCTTCTTCCCCACAAATGACAGTAAGCACCACAGGGTATAGGGATACCAACAGAGGTTTTCAGAACCCTATCCGACTATCCCAGAAAAAACATAAGTAACTACCCCGGTAGGGTAGGGTCCTGCAAGGTTTACTTGACCTCTGTTGGTGGGGAGGCGGAGGAGATCGGAGAACATACCTTTCGAGTTGTGGTGGACACGTGGACACGTCGATTCGCGGTTTCACTACGAATCGTCACGTAGTTAACAGGCTCCACGGTCGGTGCTCCGGAAGCCGTGTGATTCTTTTTTTTGGCGGTTCGACCATTGTACCATCATGTACCATCATGCACCTAATAGCCAAGCGGGGCCAAGCCCATCCAAGCCCTATTAGATAACCAAACACAGTGGCCTCATTGATAGTATACAGTATATATCATATGTATACAATTATGCACCGACACAATAATTAATTCCTGCGTAGTTGCCTATGCCAACCGCAGATATGTTGCGGAAGGGGAAGTCCGCGGAACTCCAACTTGCTATATGCTTAGGGACGGGGTTGGAAGCCTCCAATCCTGTCGAAAGAAGAGCGAAGGAATGCAGGAAACGGAAACGACTGGAATTGGGATCGTCAAAGTCACGGACCTTGAGGGCCAATCGACGCTGTACATCAGGCAGCGAGAGGGACGTTTGGACGGTCAACCAATCAACAAATCAGTTGCCCAGGAATGAAGAGATGGACATGTGCATTGCATGTCGCGCTGGATCTCAGGACTGCATGTCGGACTTCCTCTTAACCGCTTACATGGGCGAGAGCAGCGCTCGCTGTGAGAAAGAGACGAGGCAGGGTCCGTCGGTGCAGCAACAGTCACACCCCGGCACCCATCCGACCCATCCTCTCAGCTGCTTTTTCCCCCCTCTCACGTGCCCTCGGCAGCTTCGAAACCCAATGTTCAAAAAGCTTGTGAAGGGCCGGCCACGGAGGGTTTGGGACCCATCATTCATCCAAGAACGAAAGCCGAAAGTGGACGGAGTGGACGGATCCTGAGCACCCGGCCGCGGAGCCGGTCCGTTCCGCAGAACTGGCACCTGCGTCTCCTTTGACAAGACCAGCATCTTTAGGCCGCCGGCCGGCATTGTTGCCCGGCCGAGCAGGGCACAAGGGCAGGATGGATGGAGAACAGGGCGTGACGCGGATGGATGGAGTTGGGAGCAGAACATCGAAACAGCGTGGTGGTTTTTTGTTGTTGTTGCTAGGCCTCTGTCCTTATTTCATCGTGAGCTGCGTTCCCGTTTTGGCATTCAGTGACAAGAGGTGCATGTTTGGCCGTGGGATTTTGGGCCCTTTCGTGCACCACCTACAGCTTAGACAGGCTGGTCTGGGCTGGGTCTTGAACAGGTTCCTTGGGGCAGAGTTCAACCCCAAACTCTGGAAGTTCAGATCTTTTGCACCCCTAAGGCCCCTAACATCCCCCCCTAACCAGGTTGCGACCTGGTGGTCAAGATGGAGGACGTCTCAGTACACCATCAGGGTCACCTTCTCGGCACCGCTTGGCTCGGCACCGCTCGGCCTCCGAGTCCAGGTTCAGGGAGATGTGGATGACGAGGAGGAGAACCGCACACAGGCGCGCGGACAGCGCCCAGCGCGGGTGTGCACAGATGGGGCAAAATCCTTTTGGGGAAGAAGACTCATCGGCGAGGATCGGCTAAAAATCAGCAGTTCGACCACCCACGAAGCATGATGAAGTCATGGTTGTGACCTCATCAGGGCAATCCAACACATATCCACAAATGAAGCATGCGAACTGAATTCTGGATGATGAGGTTCCAGCCTCCCTCTCACCAGATGGGCCCCTTTAAGCATCCAAAAGCCTTTGAAGGACTCACCCGATGGGGTGCTCTTAAACATCTAAAGAAGCAATTGAAAAACACAAAAAACACATCCTGGTCAATGCTGAAGATGTTCGATCCAACCAAGGTCAGTCTGGTGCCATGACCTGCCAGGTGTTGGACGGCGAGATCGGCAAGACCACGCTCTGCGTGGGCGCCGCCGATCGGAAGTGCCGTGGCGGGGAGAGTTCGCTTTCGGACGGCAGAGTTCGACGGTTTAAGCAAAAAAGATTGAACACAATGACCGGTAGGGCCTGGGACCTGATTGAAATATACTTCATAGACTTCATGTGACAATTCACTCAGGACCTTGACCTATATATATATATAATATCATCCAGAATCGCTATGGGCAGCACGACAGATTTCCACCTTGTTTTGCTATAAGTAAGTTTATAATAGTTTATAATTGGTTGTTGTTTTTATCATGTGCCGTCCTCTTGTGGTTCCCTTATGTGGTTGTGCCATACGTTCCTATTTTTTTGCCACGGACTGGTTTAAACAGCTTAACATGCTTTCCGCCTAGTTAATAGTTACTAGTTGCCACATCATGGTCTAGTTACCTTGATTTCGATCTGTCACGGGCCCTGCGTTGAATCACCTCACAAGGGAAGCCTGGCTTGGGAACCCCCAAATCTGGGTATTCCTTTCTACGCACCCCGTTCTCAGTGCTCCGACCGCAAGGCTGTGTGATGTGTTCATCACCTTGCGGAAGTCCTCAGGAGAAGACGTCGCTGAAGGCCGGCGCCAGGTCGCCGCGCGCGCGCACGTCGCCGTGCGGGTCCGGCCACGCCTAAGGAGTCGATGGGAGCGGTGGGTGTGGGGAGGAAACACCAACAGCAGATCCTCCTCCGTACAGAGGAGTAAAGGTGTGGTTCGTTGGTTCGAGCGCTGCCAGATGTGTCCCGTATACAGTCTGCCGTAGATGCAGTGTGACATGAATCTGAGTATTCAATAGTATTCATAATTATAAAGGCTCTCCCTCTTCTGTCTGTCTGTGAGCGGCCCTTGTGGCTTTTCATTTTCCATATATATTTTTTTTGGAGGTGTCGCTCATCTTCGTTGAGCTGGATACCTGTTGACGACCCAGAAAAACCGAAGAGCGGGGTGTCATCGGGCTCTTTGGGTGGTTAGCACGTGGGCCCTGAAAACCCGTCGTTCGCGCAGTTCACCCGTGCGTCTCCCAAACGTCGGCTTCATCTGCTTGTTCACCGCGTGTCCGCGCAGTTCACCCTTGCAGCTGTGCTTGGGCCCGCGCAGCGGATGTGCCAGGGAAGCTGGAATGGGACGATTTGATCGAAGCCTTTGACAAGTATGAGGTCACCGAGGACAGCGAAGGCAATGAAGTCTTGGAGGCCGTCGAGTCTTGGGATTCGTCTGAGCACCGGGTCGGTGTAGATAGACCCGTTTGGGGGCGATTCAGAACGGAGCAGTCCGCGGGTGGTGGGCTTTGGGATTTGGAGAGATGAAGGCGGAGGAGGGAGCAGCGGAAGTACCTTCCCCCTTTCGGTGGGTGGCACAACTCATGGTGACTCATGCCTATAGGGCCCAGTGTGCAGAGGGATGCCCACAAAAGCACCTGAAAACGACCAGGAAGACGCAACAGTCTATTTGCGACAAGACGGTGTGGGTTTGGCACCCGGTTTTGCCAAGGAGGCCAGAGGGACAACCAAAATTTGAGCTGCGCTGACAGGAACAAACCATTTTTGTGGAGCTGGTGAACGAGAAGGCCTGGTGGGCGAAAGCGCATGTAAGAGCAGAGAGTTCTAACAAGGTCGAGTTTGCAAAGGGGGAGGTAACAAGGCCGAGTTTGCAAAGGGGGAGGTCTATGCCAGGATGTCCGGGCTCTTTTTTGCTTAAACAAATTGCCAGGAACATGCCAGCGGCTTGATGGTCCATTCGTTTGGCGTTTCGGAACTCAGTTCCGGGACCATTGACTCGTCCGAGTCTGGTGGTCGTTTCTGGTGAACGTCAGGTGGAGGGGGAGTTCGACGAGGAATGGCTGGTCTGGGTGGAGGCGCGAGTGACCTTCAAGAACGAGCGGCTTGGACTCATGACTCGGTCGAGACCGAGATGAACAGGAGATAAAAGGGGGCTAGGGCATAGAACTACCATAAATCCTCTTTTGCTAGGGCACGAAAGGGGATAAAGGGGGATGAACTAGCATGGGTCAATGGATGTCATCAAAATGTCTAAATTTACATGCATATACTGTATACTTCTATGTTGTTCATCTTTGGGCCTACTGAGGTATCGAGGGGTCTTGATCCACACAGCCATTTAAAGGTTTGTTTACTATATTTATTTACATTTATTTACTATATCTGACATTCCAGCTAATGGACAACCCTAACACTGCTTACAGGTCACATTAGGTCACCATTGGACACCCATTGGAAACGCTAGGTTCATAGTTGTGTTTTTATATTTGTTTATTTTATATAATATATATATATATTGTACATATAATATATATATTTGTATGCTGACATGTGCACTGTCAGGATTGGCGGGGGGGGGCTTTTGTGCCCGAACTGTTTTGCCTGGCATGACAGATCAAAGATCCACGAGAACACATGAATGCCTACAAGGTCCTGTTGGTCAAGGCTAAGTCTCCTGACTTTCGGACCTTTGTTTTCTTTATTGCCGATAGACACGGGGGAAATAGGGAGGACCGAAGGCGAAACGGCCCTGAGGCTGGATTCCAAGTGTGAAGAGATGCCCTACTCCAAACGTGCCTGTGCCCGCAGCAAGCAGTGGACAAGATCAGTGATTCGATGTCCCAAAAGAAGCCAAGCCATTCCAAGCCTAAGTTGCGAATAGATGCAAGTATCTTAATTTGTATGGAAGGGACACATTTCAGTCATCATGAATCATCAAGTCAGCAAGCCGTCCCTTCGTGCGGTCTCTGGCAGAACGCACAGGGCCCCTCGGCAGTTTTGTTGAAGCCTCGTAGACGGTGAGGCCATAGGAATGGGGAAGCAAGAGCCTGTATAGTATTGGTTTGGGTCGACCATCGAATGTTCATAAATAGTTGGTATAGATGTTGTTAGATGTTTGGCTAGAAGGTGTTCATCCTTCCTGCAGGAATAGATGTTTGGCGATATCATTATGATTCACAGACTCATGATATCATTAATGTATGTTTTTTTTTTGGATGTGAATCATGTATGAGTTTGTGTTTTCTCTGTGTTTCATTCACAATCATCATTCCCATGGGTGAGAGGGCCCGCATCTTCATCATGTTTCTTTGTCTCGTCCCCGTCGTCCGGTCCTGAACCCACGGCACATAGGGGTCTCCCATCAGATGTATCCACCTGAAGGGTCTCCCCCTGAAGGCGCCCGAACCCAAAAACCTTCCAAACCCCGAACACCTTCAACCATCTCATTGCACGCATCTTCGGCGTATCGGAAGGTCGTGGTATCGGAAGTCAGAAGTCCCTCTCCTCCCCAGTCCCCATCCCCTCACCATCCCGGACACCAAACTTCTACACCTCAACATCCCAAATTGCCGGACTCGGTGCTTCCGACTTCGTCATCGCGAGCGAGCGAACCCGGTGCCTCAGTCCGTCCCCCGGCGTCCGACGTCGTCCCCGAGGCATTTTTCAATTGGACCCTCCGGGGCAGATCTTCTACGAAGGCATGGAACGGTTCCTGGCCTGGGATCCCACCAGCGCCTTGGGCCACCGAAGCAACGCGAAGCAAGCGCGACGCGAACGCGGCGCGTCCCGCCCGGACGGAACTCGACCCGAGAGGTCTTCGTGTGAGGAACGTCCCCGTGACGCAAAGAGAGAGAGAGAGAGAGAGAGAAGAAAGACATCCTGACTGGAACGTATTTTTTGGACTTCTTACACAACATGTTGCCCAACTCACTAACAATAATAGTATGCTAGCATGTTAGCAACTTTCAAATGCGTGTATATAGAATGAGCAGCTACATGGCAGCCGTTGGAAGCATCAGTGTGGGCGCCTTTTTCGGCGAAAAAGACCGTACGCACCAAAACAATATATATATATATACATATAGAAGATTATAGAAGCATCCCGCTCTGCAGCGGCCAACATTTAGCCACGATTTGCACAACTGGAAAGCTTGAGTTCAAAAAGCCTTTAAACATTACACTATTTTTCCGCAAGTCCTCAAGTCCCCAGCGCATGGCCAGCTCGAGATGAAAAGAACCATGGAGACACATGGGGACAAGGGGGCGCCAGGCATGCCGAATGATTGGGGGGGGACCATCTTGGATGGCTTGTATGAGCCAAACTGGATCAGTTCACTTCCAAGAATCTCGGGGGGTTCAGGAAGCTCGAGTCCCTTTCTTGGTCCCTTTGGTGTTGAGGGGGTGGCTTGACTCAGCCCTTAAGCGACCGGATGCCGAGCCGTTCGTGGCGTTTTCGTCTGGCCACCGAGGTGAGTCTTTGCAGGTGGGCCGATCTGGGGTTCCGTTGGGGGGGGTCGCTCTACGTCTTCTATCGCTCTACGTACTGTACTCACTTTTGCATACTTTCGCCGGATAAAGCTTGGTAGAAGAGATGATATCCATATATAAAGGCTCTAGCTCCTGGCTTGAGGAGCTGGGTGGAAGATTGGTGATATTTGTTGCTCTACCAGCACCTCCAACAGGTCACCAATTGAAACCTCTTAGGGCCTAACAACCCTCCATTTCGGAGACCTGTTGGGTTCGGTGCTGGTACTCGCTACTTTCAATTACCAGCCGGACAAAACCGGTTTGTGGAGAGTTCATCCCTCATTGGCTCTCCTTTTCACGATGCTTTGATCTTGCTGTTGATCTGCCCGAGCAGACCGGTCCAACAGTTCGGCAAGTGTTTAGTGGATTTCGAGCGAAGTGGGGACAGGCATGTGGAAACTCACCTAACAACAACAACAACAACAACAACAACAAGAACAAGAACAAGAACAAGAGGCACAGCCACAGTGAGCCACAGAAATCCCATTCTGTATTGGACTGATTTGGACTGCAGTTCCATCTTGGCCCTTCATGTCTTCACTCCCTAACCCTATCGCATCCCACCCACACACACACTCTGACATTGGTTTTCAGTGACTCAGTTCCCACGTTGGGAAGGAAGGTGAGGGAACGGAAAGGTGCGTGAGTCAGCAAAACCGTATTGTTGAACAAAGTTTCGACAGGTGTGCGGTGGCGAGCCTCTGTACAATTCAGCTGCGTGAGAAAGTGGAAGGGTTTGTGGGAAGTATCATGAACCACCATGGAATCAAAAAGGAGGATTGGAACAGCTTGCTCAACCGTTGAAGCAGGTACAGGTGGATGATCAGTCCACCCATCCCTCGATACACCAGAGCTTCGTTGCGTCAGGTAGGTGTATCGAGCCTGACGCCCCTGCCGAAGTTGGTTGAGAACCCTTTGTCCAGGGGTGGACACACACAAATCGCCGGCTTCGGCGCTTTTTCAAAGAACGGTGGCACACACACTGTGAAAAACCTAAATAGGCACCTAAAAAGCCTTAGAAACAAAAGGAAAGAAAGACAGAAAGAGCAGCGCTAAGAGGGGAAGAAAGAAAGGTGTAGGAAAATGACTACTTAGCCCTTGACTGGGGTAGGGAAACGAGCCTCAAGAACAACCTAAAAAGCCTGAGAGAAAGCCCAAAAAACGACCGAAGGCGTAAGAAGAAAAGCGGGGGGCAGGGAAGTGTATGTACATGTGTGTGTCCGTGTGTGTGTATGAATACTTAGCCCTCTAGAATTACTGATTACTTAGCAGAAATGAATTGCGTGCAATAGCTAGGGAGCGGGACTTTAGCCTTAGACCGCCCGGGTAGGAAAGACTAGAAAAGGAACAACACAGGGAAAGGCACCGACACACAAGCGTGTCGAGTACCATTTCCCTATGTTGCCCTAAATAGGTAGGGAGTAGAACTCAGCGGGGGGGGGGGGGG